TTTTTTTTTTTTTCGCCTTTTGGCATTTCGCGCCTTTCCTTACTAGGCCGGAGAAACGTAAGGATGTCGGACAAACACGGAGTTTGCAGAATGAATTGTCCTTGACCTGAATTGTCAAAGTCCAGGGTCGGACGGTGCTCTCTCTCTCTCTCTCTCTTTCTCGCATTGACACACGACGCTATTTTCCGTCCACGCATTAATTAATGACGCGCTCAAATACCGCTTTTCGTGTGGTTTACGTTTATATATTATAATCGGGCTCATCTCATTATATGGATCTCGTTTGGAGAGCGAGTTCACGGATGTTTTTTTTTTTTTTTTTTTATTTCAATTGTTTTGATTTCATTCTTTCCTTTCTCTCTCCCGCTGTCGCTTTTATAAATCCCGCAAAAATTCAAAATCAGGTCGGAGTTTTTTTCTTTTTTTTTTGGCTAATCCTAACTCAACAACCCGCACGTAATTCTGAGAAAAACAATATGCTGATAAAAAAAATAATATATTTATCTTCTTCAAACAATTATGAAAAAAAAATAATAATTTTTTGCCGTTAGAAAGTGGCCGCTAAATAAACGTTTCGGAAAATCGTGACACATTTGCGGACGAATTTATATCGTTGACAGTGATCTCGCGCGGCGCATGAACGAAAGAATTATACCCGTGTCAGCCTCGGATTGGGGCATAAATTCCTGCAGCTCCGCTATCAGCTGGCCGATCTCCTCGGAATCCTTTCGGATGCTGCAGAGTTCTTCCTCGTTGAAATCCGGCCTAATCTGTTTGCACAAGAGAATCTGCGAGACCACATTGCCAATATACGAGGGACCGGCGCGGCTCTCTGTAACGCGATAAAGAAAAACTTGTAGACTCACGAGACAGGCGTCAATCAATTTCGTCAACGTCTTTTTTTTTTGTTTGTCCCGTTTTTCGAATTTCAAGCGAAACGGAGAAACACTCGTTATGTATTCGATCAAAAACTGGCGTAATTGCAGGAATTGAGAGAGGGTACTTGCGAGCGGATAGTCAGAAATGCTGATTTATTGAATGTTATAGTGTGGCCTATAAACTACACACACGCGATAGATTTGAGAGCTACAGTCCGTGGGGAGGAATAACGTCGCAAATCAGTTTATATCTGGTCTAGTTCGCGGAAACTGATACATCGTTGCGCTTTGCTGGCAAACCGATAACGCGCGTCCCATTCGACGCGACGCACTTATGTATTCCCTCTTGCACACAGATTTTTCGCAGTAAAGTTTTCCGCGCGCGTTAATATATTCATTATTGATTCATTATTATGTACAAGTTGCAATTTTGAAAACGTTGTTGTGTAACAACGTCAAGCGGAAACGTGTTTGGTATAAGACTTACCGTAATATCCGGACATATCCATGGGTACGATTTGTATGAGATTTTTACTCTTATGCAGTTCGCGCAAAAAGAGTTGCGCCACGTAAAACAACAATACCAGATTCGGGCTGTCCACCGGGATCCCAACGTCCATCGCGCTGCAACAAAATGTCACGTATTTATTTAATTATTATCGTCATTTACGCGCGAATGAGGAAACTGATGCCCGCACTCGGTATCGACCTCATTAACGCGCGCGCATCCCTCGCAAACGTGTTCAAGTGTTGTATCGCGTTCACCATGAGAAGAGAAATATTTCTTTTCTCGTTTGCTGTGTGTGTGTTTGCATTTACAAACACGTACACACACACACGTGAGAATTTTCACGAACGCGGTATTTAGACTCTTTGGAATGCAAACTCCTCATCTCTAGATAACGCGCGCTATTATCTAGATCTACCATCTCGGACAATAGATACAGAACCGAGCGAAAACCATCTCGGACGGGATAATTACTTCCTCTTCAGCGGATATTATTGTTATTATTATTAGTATTACGTGAATATACGTTACTCGAACTGTGTATTTCTTCGATACCCGAGGGCTCTTCTGTGAAATGCCGCGAAGCGTAATCCGATTACGCGAAACTTACGGGCAACGAGAGAGACGGGCGACGACGTCCAATAAAAACAAAAAAAAAAAAAAACAGCCGCAAACGAATTAGATACACCGATTAATCCGTTTTACGTCAATTACCGACACCGGTTGAGAGCATTGAGCAAAGTCGTCGACACAGGAACCATTTCGATTGGCTTCCGGTTAATGAGATTCCAATTAGCGCGCGAAATAGATTGGCGTGACCGAAGGCAAACCGACCTCCGTCCAATATCTCCGCAACCTTATTTTGCTTACAAACGTCTCCTCGTCGTCGCGCCGCCACCCGAAGAAGAAGATGATGATTTTTTCAAGAGATTCCGCCAGATTTTTTTCTCTCTTTACTCTTGTTAGTATTTTTTTTATCTCACATCTTTCCATCATCTCTTTGCACAGGTCTTTTTTTTTTTTTTTGTTTTACACTCGTGGCTGTGACGGAAATGTGGGGAAAAAATGTGGAACAAAAACCAAAGTTCAAATTATTATGTCGCGCAACGAAAAGGCGTGGGAGAAACAGCAAGATCGCGCGCAAATTGGTTCTCCATATAAAAACTTAAGCAAAAAAAAAACGAGCCGAGCGGTATAGAAAAAGATTTTCGTGTAAAAACGTTAGCATTTCTCTCTCGTGTCACTGNTTNTTTTTTTTTTTTTTTTTTTTTTTTTTTTTTTTCTATCTCCGCCTTCTCTTTTTATCTCTCATCCTCGACCGGTTTGACTTTGAATAATTTCTTCCGGGGCTTTGCACACCTTAATGAAAATCTAAATGTTTCACGAGTCCATTCCTTCAGGAATCTTTTCATTCTCATGTTCGAGCGAGAAATAAAAAGCGAGCGCACAAATATGCAGCGCGCGCGCGCGCGGGCGGATATTTTGTATTAACTGTCTCTTTATTTACAGCGCAACAATCCCGGGAAAAGAGAGCACGCACACCAAGACATTTGCTCAACCGCATCACATTCACTAGGATCGAACAATTAATTTCCACGTATTTAATCAGCAGAACTATTTAACGCACAAAAGTTTGGACTTCGCCTCGTCGTCGGCCATAACCACGGGTATGTAAATAAACACACAACATTGCATTTAGTTTCCCGTCATTTAAAATTTACCAGTTTACGAGTTTCTCTTTCCGAGAACCACATCCAAACCTTGACTCCGCGGGATTCATCAACTTTAAATGCCGTGCGCTCGTGTATGCGTAATAATAATAATGATAATACTATCTCTTTGTCTCTAAACGGAAGAAACACGGAACTTCACAAACATATATACCTATAATTACAGATGTTCGTATGCGCGGATCTATCTTTTTCACTGATTACTTGCTAAACGAACAATAATCGCATTGTTATGACGTTTGAATGTGAAGTCGCGTGTAACGAGATTTTGCAAACAATAAGTTTAATTGAATACCACATCAAATAGATATCAGCACGTAAACATCCGGAGCGCATTGTTTAATCTACAATGTTTTACTAAATTATCGCGACGAGCTAAACGATAATTATATTGCACCCCCTTCTCCTCATTATCTCTGATCTCTCTCTCTCTCTCCCTTGCCGAGTCGAAATAACATTGCCATATGATTAACGTTCGCGTTTCCTCTGCTTCATTATGTTAATAGCACTCGCCGCGACAAAATACATCCAATATATCGATCACACATCGGACTAATTTGTAAATTGTTATTCGTAAATTAATTGTCAGTCACATTTCCGTCATCCCCCGTCATCGCATCACCTAAAAACCACTTGCATTTGTTTGGTTTCAATTTGCGGACGTCATTTCACTCTCTTTCTCTCTTTCTCTCTCTCTCTCTCTCTGAATTGTACAATAAAATTTTCTAATTTCTGCAAGTACATCTGTTAGAGAGATGGAAGTTGGAACAACGGTTAATTGTTTTTTCACTCCGAAGATCTATAATCGATTGATTATTTCTGTGAATATATGTACGTAATTCAATCGTACGTACAACGCACGGGTGTATTATTACGAGCTCGAGTAATGGTTTTACACAGACGTTGGCGCGAGCACTTGGTGCTGCGCGCCGTATCGCTGCAAAACACGCAACTCCCTGCATCGATTATGCAAAATATGTCTACATTTTGTTCGCATTCTTTTTTTAGGGATCAACAATAGCTGACCGACCGACCGTTCAGAGCTCGCCTATTCGTCGTAAGCTCGCGCGGGAGAAGCTCCGCCAATTTTCAAAGCTTTCAAAATGGCCAAACGCGGTTTCTCGGAACTTCTTTGCATATTTTATTCCGTAAGTACAGTATACGATTCCAAATGTGATTTGTACGGGGAACAAACTCGCGTTTCTCTTTAGCGCTCGAGAAACGCGCGAGTCGCAATACACACACGCAAATATATAGACGGTAATCACACAACAAACAATAGTCAAATAACTATATAAATTTGTCATTTGTACATACACGCGCGCGGGTAGAAATACATTTTACTCTATTTTCAATAGCGAGTTATGTATGTAACTGTCAAAACGGTAATTGCGACGGCAATCGAGACCGACGGAACTACCGATTGCAAATTGATGATAAAGGGACAATGTGACGCTCCCGGCAAATTACGAGAAACGAAAGTTATTGGAAAGTTATCGCTACGGGGAAAAGAGGATACGTGGCACGTGACGCTTTTCCCACGACCATGATTCCACTCTGACCTGCATTGTGCGAGAAAACGCTGCGAGCTGTGAAAGAAATCGCGGAGAAGAGAATTCTTTCTCCTCCTCCTCCTCATTTTCTCTCTCTCTCTCTTCCTCTCTCACTGCTTTTGTACTCGCGAACTAACTTGAAACCGAAATTTAGACGGAACTTCTCCGTCTTACGCGATATCTTCGCAAGTGCTCATTTAACATTCACGCGCTTCATGCGCTCATCCGTAAAGAGCGAAGAACTTGCCGCGAGATATTTGCCTCCCCGATTCAAAACTCACCTCTGTACATGTGGCAGTACTAATTGAGAGGTGCTCTTGCAAGCTTCCACACAGTTGCGACGCAGCTTTCGTATTTTCTCTCGCAACTCCGGCGAGTCGCGCGGCTGTCCGATGTTAATAAGTAAATCTCGAAATTGTGCCACCTGGCTGTTTATCTCCTGTATTTGCTGAAAAAACGCGAAATCAGCTTCGTCGATTAATGCACATATCGTGTGTGTGTGTGTGTGTGTGTGTGTGCGCGCGCGCGTGCAATTTCAAGAATATTATCACATAATTGAGAACGGCACAACGCGCGCGTGTGTGAATATAAATAATACATATATATTGCAAGTATCGCTGATCATTTGTGAAGCAATTGCGCGTGCATAAATTATTAACGCGGTCTCGGTGGTGTGAGCCACAAAGAGCATTGTGTGAAAATTAAAAACCATCGCATTAATCTCGCTCGCGCGCTCCGAGAATTTCAACTCCGCTAATTGGTTTTATACAAAATTTAATTGCGCGTTATTATATCCAAACGCAATCTCTAGTATCAATTATCTCTCGCGCACATATCTCATATCGCGGCGGGAAAATTGCTGAAGAAATTACTAAAAAAAAAAAAAAAAAAAAACGAAAACGTGCTGAATGTCGCGACGAAACTCGCATCTCGCACGCGACGGCGGCAACGCGACGGAAGATATCGCGAGCCGGTCGCGCGGAGAAGGAATCGCATTAAAATCACATTAAAGTGAACGGGAATTATTCATCGTCGAGATTAGAGCAGGGGAGAGAGAAGGGGAAGTTGAGATAATTCACTTCGGTTACCAGTAACACGTTCTTGTCCGATTTCTCGGGCTTGTCGCATTTGTCGTCGTGATGCTTGCTGGTCGATGGTGTCGGGGAATCCGTCATCATCTAATCTTGTTTGGGACAATTCGCTCGCCGACAATCGTCATCACCCGATACAACGACAATCCCCGCGAACATTTCCGCAGAGGCGGGGGGCGGAAGGCACGCGATACGCAAGACTCACCGTCGTCGTCGTCGTCGGGACTCTCATCCCCCCGTAGATCGTATTACAACATACGCGATCTTGACAGTCGCGGCATCGCGCGTCGATGTAATAACAGTCGCCGTTGTCGCAAAGTGCACTTTGCGCGCATTCCTGCCACGTGATCCTTTTTTTGCCGCGTGCGCCAGCTATTTTTACGCGAGATCAATCTCGCTTCAGCAGGCTGGTAATAAGCTTATCGCTCCTCCTCCTCAATAGCTCGGCAATGGTAATACAGTCATCTCTCTTCGGACATCATCATCATCATCGTCGTCGTCGTCGTCGTCGTCGTCGTCATCGTCGTCATCGTCGTCGTCGTCATCGTCATCGTCACCGAACCGGTAACGCCGCGGCGCCCCATTTCTTCTCGTCTCTACTTATCTCGGGATTCACGCGATATATTTAAATTCGAATACGAAACGTAATTGTATTTTCGCGACGTTGAGTATATCCACGAATATCATATCAACTCGTCGGCGGGTTTTCACAAAATTTGAATCTCTAATCCCGAGAACTCGCGGGAAGATCCTGTTCGCGCGACGGTTATTCGTCGCGAAGTGGAATTTCACATTTCCCGTATGCAAACCACGATCGTATGTAAATCGCGATTGTTAAATGTGCATACACACACACACACACACACGCGCACACACGCACGCGATTTCGTATTTTTTACATCTCTCGAAAAAAACTTTTTGTGTCGCGACAAATCCGTCCGAGATAATTCTCACGTATATTGCGAGGATCTGTGGGAGTGTCTCGCGTGAGAGAAAAATCTCGAAAAACCGAAATTCGGTTTTTAGGCGCGAGCGATGAGCGACGGGTATCGCGCGACGGATCGTCTCGACGTCTTCGTCATCCCTTCGTGCGCACCAAATAAATCTTTTCGCTTGATGACGATTCGCGCGCGGCTCGTATCCCGATTTCGGCCGATTATATATGTGCACGTGTGTTGTATTTAACGCGTATGCGTGCGCTTATCTCGCAGCATCATCATTGCCCGCAATCCACGCATCGGGAACTCTACTCTGCTGCAGCGAGCGCAGAGAGTGAGAGAGAGATGGAATATATACATGTATACACATGTACTGTTACAACACACGCGCGCGACAGACTGAAACTCGTAGGTTTCGCCCTCGAGCTCTTTCACTGCCGCGCGCCACCCTGAGCCGAGCGCGCATGCCTGACTTGGCGTTACCTTCTACTACTTGCCGCCCCGTCTCTTCCGCACACGACTCCGTGTGCACGCGCGAGAGACGCGCTCTCGCGAAATTATAAAGCTAATGAAGTTTCCTTTATTCTTAATAATGCCCTGCGAAAGTAACGTTGTTCACTTTCTTTATTTATTCGCCCCGTTTGTCTCCACGGGTCGCTGTAAGTATAATATCTAACGTTTTTTCAATGCGTTCGAGTTCTCCATCTCGACTCGCAATTAAATTCTCGCCTTCTCCGTATAAAGGAGTTCAGCAGTTCGCCAATGTGTTCTTTTTCTTTTATTATCGAGAGGGAATTAATTTTTCTTTGTCGCGAAACGTGTCAGAGTGGATCCCCGCAGATAGGACAATGTTCTAAGGTCAACTGTTTGTAGAGCAAAAAAAATTAATAAAATATTTTAACTTCGTCGGCAAATCCACGAATATACCGAATTTGTGAAACAATATAAAACATAAACAACGTGAGTCGAATAAAAGAAACGCGCGCGCGCGTGTGCTCTAGTTTCGATATAATATATATGTATCACACGTACATATTCACTTTTCTATCCTAGAAACGTTACAATTCCATTCTGTCAATATGTTCTACCGACATGTTGCGACACACAACTCGAGTCACTTTGCGCGAATCACGCATGTAATTTGTAGACCTGAGGTAACGTCGGTACTGATATATTGGCATAACGCAATTTCGATGCCTTAATTGACGTCATCGTATTCCGACATTGAACTTTGTGCATGTGTGTGTGTGTGTGTGCGCGCGCGCGCCCACGCGCGTGTATACGTGTGCGCGAATATTTTTACGCAAACAAATTTGTGTTACATGCAATATTCAGACTTTACGTAATAACAACCGAGCTGCAATTCTATTTGCGGCCTCTATCAGTCTCGCATCTACGCGCGTTGCATTCGACGTACACATTTCCGCCCCGGGTAAGTCATCCCGGGCGTATGCACGTGACAAGTACATCCCACTTTGCATTGTGCAATTATACGAATTGATAACAATCAAAACGCGTGGTTATGTCCGCACGGTCGGATCGTCGCTCGCCAACCGACAGTAGCCGCCGCCGCCGACCGTCTCCACCGAATATTTCATTAGATCGCAATTCGAAGCCGTAGTTTAAATTTTAATCGATAGACTCGAATTAGCGTGCGAGAGAGAAAGAGGCTTTGGGAGAAAAAAAAATAGAACAATTCTCATTTTTCTCGATCAGGAACAGAGGGAGAGAGAGAGAGAGAGAGGGAGGGAGAAAAAAAAAGAGATGTGATGACTCAGTGAGAGTCAATATTTGCTCATTTATTTTTCCGTTTCTTGATAGCCTTTAGGTATATACGACGACATTAGTTGACACATTAGGCAAACTCTTACTCTTTCCTTCTATCCTCATTAGAGCTACGTCCTTTGCGAGCTCTGCTCTTCTCTCTTTTAAATAACGACACTTTAATTTTCTTTGAATTTTTAAAGACTCGCAAAGTTTTTTGAACAAAAACAAAATTGAAAACGTAGTTTCCAAGACGCTTTATACAAAATCGCGCGCGCGCGCGCGTGTGTGTGTGTGTGTACAACGTGATACCGCGTGTGATCCGCTTGATGTACACGTCCGCGGTTTGAGGCCCGGCGGTCCCGCGGGAAAACCGGATAAACAGGTTTTCACGGAGATTAGAGGGTTTTGCCCGTCACCGATTGAAGCAGTTCTCAAAGGACGACCGTGGTCTATCTATAAATAGCGTCCACGAGTGCGTAACGGTAATGGTCGCGAAACGGTCGGACGACCGTGGGAGATGCGCGGCTATTCGGTTCTCATTTACTTTCCGATCGGCGACGCGTCGCGACGATCGAGATTTCTTTTTAAAAAATTGTCAGCTTTCTCGGAATCAGTTGAATTTTCTCTCGAATATTGTTGCCGACTACCTCGACTAGTAATTCGCGGTAGCTTCTGCTTCTCGGTACGATCGATAACCACGTTCTCTCAAATTACTTCCCGACAATGGCTTATCCTGCGATCATCGTGCGATTCAATTTTCCAAGACGTGTCCCGTAAAAGAATCATCCGGGAGCGATGTGAATAAGAAGAACGGAACGAATGACCACGAGGGTATCGTACACAATGCATCGGATATCAGATGATTTCCCTTTGGAGATCTGGAATATAATCGCTTTGATGAAACACAACGAGGCTTTGTCGCGCACTTGGCATATGTGCGGCGCTTTCTGACGTTTGTAGAAGAGAATAAAATAACACAATATTAAATATACGGGATTTCGAAACGCGAAACGAGAGCGCTTTTAAAGGGCAGCAGCCTTCAAGACTTGACCCAAACAAAATTATTGCAACAAATATATTAAAGCGCAAAAACATATATAAGGGCAAATAAATATTTATTTGTTTTTATTTACGAAGCATGACACACGCGCGCACACTCGCACGCACAAACGTTTACTTGCTTTTTTATATCTGTTGCAACGATATCCCGCGTCTTATAACGATATTTTTCACTATTACTTAAGTTTCATCTTTAATGATGCGCCACTTAAGAAAGCTCTTGCCGTGAGAGAGCGGTGCTCACGTTAAACCATCCTACCCTATCGCAAGACGGGTACATGTTCGTGACAACTTTGAACTGCCTTTTTAATGATCGCCCCTTTTCCCCCCCATCCCTTGGTCGAGAAATCGTTAGTTTCCGCGGCGGCGTATCGAACTCGTAAACGGATTATACAAAGAGCCGCGCGTTCTCACGAAAAAAATTACACGTTTCGTAAATTCTGGTTTTCCACGAGTTTTAGCGGCTTATCGTGCGCGCACGATTCATATTGCGACCGATTCGCCGATTTTTTTTTTTTTTTTTTGCTTTTTTGACAACCTTTTTTCCGCTTAACGAAACCCACGTGCGTATGGTATTATCCTCTTGTGACTTTTAACGTACGCGCATACATATATCCTCACCGAGAGAGGGAGTGGAGCAGCGCAGACACGTTTGATTTTCATATTTATCGCGAAACCCACACACACACACACGCGTAAAAGCGCAATAAAGCCTTTAAATAAACTCGAGGGGTAAAATCGATAGCGAAATTTCTCGATAATAACCTTGACAGATTGACGCGTGCAAATAATAAATTGAAACGGATTTAATCAAACAAAATTTTCAGGGAAAAACGCTCTCCCGGGAGATGTCAAGCGCGCGCGCGCACACGTACACATTCAAAATCGTTATTATCATATATATTTCTCTCAAAAATACTACGTGTATCGGTTTACAAATTTACATAACCATCAGCGAAGTCTCCATTATGTTCCTGTTTTGCTCCCGCAATGACACTGCATACACAATATAGCGCATATGTATACGATTTCACGAACGTTACATTACACATGTCGGTTCGCTTGTTCGCGCGCGCGAAGGGAGAGAAGAGCGCAAACAGGATGAGAAGATATTCGGTCTGACGCGCTCGTGTCTTCGCTCGGTTATCTTAATTCTCCTCAGTCGAGAGAATTCGTATCTCTATCAGCGCGCGTCCGTACGTAAGTCATTAACGCACATGGCAATTCCCATTTCTCGTTATCGCGAGAAATGAATCGGAAAATGTCATCAGAGAGAATTCCCGATGACATGATTTTCGAAGATCGTTTTTTTTTTTGCACCGACGTTTTTCGCGGACATTCCAAGTCGACTTCATTATCGGGATTCGGAGGCGGGAGGAGCAGCAGCCCTCGGCATCAAGTATCCAATGTTATCATTTCCGACGCCGCCGTCAAGTATCAAAAATGTTATCGTTTCTCCCACACCAAACAACTCGCGAGAAGATCGTAACACAAACACGTACGAGGGTGTAAACCTCGTCTGTGCGTCTGTTTACACGCACGATTTGTGATTTTTATTCATTTTTTTTATTTAAGATACATTCGCATTGTTTGAATAAGTACAATATGAAATTTTTGTTTCGAAATTGTATTTTTCTTGACATGTTTTTGTCGTTGCTTTTTTTTTTTTTTTTTTTTTTTTTAAAAGGGAAAAAAGAAAATTGGGGGTGTAGGGTTTTTATTGTTGTCCTTTCCTTTTCAGGAACCAAAAAAAAAAGGAAAGACAGAA